TTTCCTGCTATTATGGTTACAATGTTTTTCAATCAAACTGGTGGATTGGGAGCTATCTATGAAATTAAAAAATTTCTCAGAAACTTGCATTTGTCTCTAAATTCCGCCGTCAAGAAAAATATCTATTTCCGGCTTCTTTGAATTCTCGCTTAGCGACATATAACTGAAAATTTAGAAGTTATAAGTTAATTGTAGTAGTCAAATTATTGTTGAAAATTAGTCATCGGCATGGTTGTCAATTTCCTTTGAATGCCAAGAGAAGGGTTGCTCAGGATGTAAAAGTTGATTTTTTCGCATTACAGTTAACTACTACAGGTCGGAAAACTTTTTTAAATTTGCAAACTACTTGGCGTTATTAAATGCACGTTTATGTAGCTAAAAAATTTATTTTTCAAACTGACAAGAATAAAGGAAAATTTCTTGATTGGAGGATGAGCAGCCAACTGTTAAAAACGTTATAATAGTTCGTACATAATTAAACAAAATTTCCGTCAACTTACGAATATTTATGGGAAAAAGTATCCAAATTTGCACTGAGGAAAAAAACGAAGTATCCCTCAAAATTCAAGGCGAAAATTTATCCAATTGGATACATATGTATCAAAACGGCATCACTGCCGCCAATGTTGTATTACGGTCTGATCGCGAGATGAGAGGTTTATTCTCTAAATACAAATTAATAATATATATACATTAGGGCGGGTCAATTTGTATGGATCGTTTTTTCGACATTGTTCCTAGCATATTCGGATTCTTCATAAAATTCTAGGAAAAAAATCCTCCAGATCATAGCTCGAAAGTCAATTTCGAGCCTACGCATTTTTNAATTTCGAGCCTGCGCATTTTTAAAAGAAGATATCTTATATATAAAAATGAATTGCTGTCCGTTAGCCTCGCTAAGACTCGAAAACGGCTTGACCGATTTGAATATTTTTATTTTTTTGGTTTGTTTTTTATAATATCCGGATAGTTAAAACCTGAAAAAAATAGAGAGTTGCCACCTGTTTAAAAATTTCAGTAGAAGTAAATTAATGACTTAAATTAGATATTGTAATATGGGTGTAAAAAGAAAGAGGTTATGAAGGCTTACAAGCGAAAATATTTTTGAGGGGGGTTGCTACCTGTTTCAAAATTTAATTAAATTAAATTGGTGAGATAAATATTGCAATATGGGTATCAAATTAAAAATGTTTAAGAAGGCTTACTACCGAAAATATTTTTGAGTTGAGTTGCCACCAATTTCGAAAATTTAATTCAATTAAGTTAATAAGATAAAGTTTGTATTATAATATAGGTGTCAAACGATAAGTATTTGAAAAATTATTGATTAAGAAATACTTTCTATAGGCCTGAGCGGTAAAAACTAAAAGCCATACTCGCAATTATTATTCAAAGCTTTTGAGGCTCGCATCAATGTGGAATACTGTAACTCCGTCAAGTTAGTGTTTATTGATGGCAAACAAAGCACTATCATGTTTGGCAATGATATCACCCCATCGAACAATGCACTTAGCCTCAATATAAAAAGAGAACAAAAGCCGAAGTATTTGCCGAAGCAGTTCATACAAATGTCCCACAATTGAACTAACAAAAAAAATATGTCCTACGACTCTTTTATAGAACCTGTTTACACTGGAGTAAATTTTAAACAAAAAACAAAACCGACTTCAATTCTCATATACGTTTAAGAGTACCGTTAATTTCTTCGTGGCCCAATTATCGGATCTGCACTCAATTAGTAGGAGACTACCTCTGAGGAACCACCTTTCCTTTAAAAAAGAATTATAGAAAACGGATTACGTAGTCCAAAGTTATGCGGTAACATACATAAAAAAATATTCCGACGAACTAATAAAATATGCAGATTAATATTTAATAAAGTGTTACGGATATATTTTTTTGTGCTTGGGAGTTTATTGGTACGAAAAATCTATTTCTGATATCTATTTAAAGAACCGCAAGATTGCACTACAAAGCAAATTACATATTTTTACTATTGTAACGGGAGAAGTTACTGTATGTATTTTTTTATATGTACAGTGTCGAACAAAAGTTTTGGCACAGCAAATTTCCGCATTACATATATGCAAAGTTTTTAATTGATTTCCGATAATTTTTTATAAAAGCATAGTTCATACTACACCAAAACACATAAAAATCAAATGTGTAAACTTTGTGCAAAACTCAGGAAAATTCAATAAATCTGCATACTAATTTGCAATTTTATATTCAGATTTTCAAGCAACTTCAAACCTGCACTTTGATAAACTAAAATGAATGGATTATTAAACTGCATACTTGGAATTTTTCTAAAAAATACTTTGCCTATATTGCGAAAAATTCACTGTGCCTATACTTTTGTCCGTTACTGTAAGTAAATAAAACTTTGCTTTCAACACTTGGTATCTTTTTTCTACTTTCTATTGTCATATCCATAACTCCCTCTCTATTTTTATCAATCAATCAATCAATTTTATAATTTTTTTCGGCATTTTTCCTAATTACAAGTAGAGCTTTATAAAACTTTTATAACATTAAATGTTTATTAAGCTTAAGCTTTTGTGTTATCCGGGCAGGCTTATTAATTTCACCAGAGAAAATATTTTCTTTATTAAGTTTACCCAGTTACCCATTTTAAACTGCTACCTGTACTGTATCAGCGGTTAAAACTTGTTAAATTTTTATTTCAAATTTTCGGTAAGGAATAAGCGAGTGGATGAAAAATATATAACGGCAAGAACGTAAATAACGTTCGTAACACTTTAGTAAATATTAATCCGTATATTAACTTAAGTAGTATATATTAAAGACTAGAAGATGACCCGGTGAACTTCATATCATCTATAATTTATTTGAATTTCACCTTGATCAATTATAACAAATCTTCAAAATGCAATACAATGAGATCACTAATACTGCCTGCTGTTATAGCTGATAAATGAGATGTGCCACGCCCCTTTTTACAAACTCCTTTATATGCATATATCTTTCCAGAAGCACCTACCATAGCTAACTGTGCATTTCAAATTTCGAGTTCATGTGACTATAATTCCGAAGTTGAGCTGACTAAAAATTTTCTCTATGGGAGGTATCCCCCATCCCCTTTCCGCCCCCCTCCCCCCTTGGCGAGTTCCAATTTTTTTACCCTATTATAGGTCCAGGAGTCATGGCAATATTTTGGCAAAATTTTATTCGATTCTGTCCATCCGTCTAGGCTGCAACCTGGCTCATACATACATACATACTTCCACAAATATATAGTAGATTTGCTTTGAAGCGCCATCTTGCGGTTCTTTAAATAAAAAATAGATATCAGTAATGAATTTTTCATATCACAAAACTCCGGAGCACAACTCTTTGTTACAAAAAAAAAAACATTCCTAACACTTTAAGTAAACATTAATCTGATTATGGACTTAGCATTAATTAAAGATATTTTCTTTTAAAATTGCGCAGGCTCGAAATTGATTTTAGAGTTTTGGTGTTAAGCGCTTTTTTTCTTAGAATTTCATGTAGAATCCGAATCTGATAGGATCGATGTCGAAAAAAAAATTTACCCGCCCTACTATACATATATTAACAAATTAGCAATTTGTACGTACAAAGCAAATTAAAGAATTTTACAACTCACTTGATTTTGGACTCCACAGCCAGCAACGATCTTAACTTACTTAAAAAATGTATACTCAAAAAATATAACCGTTACGGACAGTTTTTCTACTAAACTAAATAAATTATGCTCCCAACGCGTACACGACAACTAGTAAAATTAATGTGAAATCTGTACCAAAATTAAGAATAAACTACTTTTTTTGAAAATTATGTAAAGGACCCTTATTAAAAAAAAACTAAGGTAAAATTTATTCGTCGCCACCCTGTACACATACATATATATGGGTGTCAAATGCAAGGTATTTGAGAAATCTTCGATTAAGAAATATTTGCCATTGAGTTGTCCCCTATCTAAATTAGGGATGTGCGATTAACCGATGAAATATTTTTTAGTTAATCATAATCTTGATTAATCGAAAAACGTTATTAATCTGATTCTGTTGATTCAGATCCTGAGTAATTACTGTTTACTCGCAAAAAATTAATTGAAATCTGAGTATCTTTGCTCATTTCTTTCGAGTTTGCTTTCAAAGCAAATGATTTTTTTTAATATGCAATATTTTTCTAATTAACAAAAATATAATGCCAAACGAGCATCTTGCTATGTTGCTCGTTGAAATGAAAAAATACATACATATATGTACGTGTAACAAATTTTTTCTATAACAAAAAAGAATATATCGCAGCATTTATTCAGGTTTCTGGTTAATAAAATTAATTAGATTCTGATTAATGAAAATGTAATTAATCGCGAAATTCTATGATTAATCAAAAATTATTATTATTATTGATTAATTAATTATTCAGGTTGGGATTATTCAGCTAGTAAAAAATTTCGAAATTAAATGAAATATTACAAGATTAAAACCAAATGAAAAGTTTTTGAGAAGGATTCACTAGACCATCTCTTTGAAAAGTTGCCACCAATCGAAAAGTCGAACATTAAAAAAATTTTAATGATTAAGAATTTACAACATATCAAATATCCGGCGGGATTCGCTGCGCTTTCAAAGCATTTTGTTACTCCCTCTAACTTCATAGTACATCCAAAGCTCTTATAGCCTCATTCATGAAAAATAAATAGATTTAAAGAGGTTTATAAGTGAGATTTCCATTAGCAATTTCAATTTATGAAGCATTTAAAGTCTTATTTTTTTTTAATTTGGGTGTTAGTTAATATTGTTTTTTAATTTTTGACAGCGGTTAACCGTCGACTGCTCTATCGTCGTTCGCTGCAATTCTGGGAAGAGCTTAAGAGTTTTGGATGTAGTGAGAGGGAGTAACAACTCAAAAATACTTTAAAGGCGCAGTAAACCACGCCATTTATTTGCTAGTTTTAAAATAAATTTTTTGTTTCTTAAGTAATGTTTTCTCTTACTTTATTTCAGTTCTTTGAAACACGTGGTTTGCCGAATATATATACGAAGGAACAACTTTTTGAATATATTACATCTTTAAATGCCAAGACTCATAATGCTGCCATGTTAGAGCGCATTCATACACGTGGCGCTTCAATATCAGTAGCTACATCTCCGAGTCAAGATGAGTGTCCAGAAGAACTAAAGAATCTTGTTTATCCTTTCGACTTAGCTTGGGAAAAATCCCAATGTGAAAGACAGCAACGTGAACCACTGAAATCTGCGGAATCTTCATGTCTGACCACTGCTGATCAGGCTACATCGGCAATGGGAACTTTAAATATTAACGTGCCCTGTGCATGCCAAGAAAATAAGTCTTAAGAGTAAAAACATCTCAAAACAATAGGGAACGACACTATTAGTATTTTGGTCTGACCGAATTGAAATTCAATATACTGTTACAACAAAAACAAAACACAAAAATGCTTTCAACTGGTTATTGGTAACAATTTGCAACCGCATCTTGCACGAGCAACTCAAGTTTTTATTTAATTTTGTTAAATATGCATCACAATTTTATTTTTTTGAAGAGTTTGTTAGGGGAAATATTCTCCATCCGATCAAAAAAAAAATTGTTTTTAAAGATTTTATAGAAATTCTAGGAAAATATGCATTTCTTTCATATAAAATACGTGGGAAATTTCAAAGCTCCGGAGGCACCCATAAATGTGCCTGGAAGAAAATGTACTAGCCAAGTCAGGTGAGCTTGGGGGCCATTCCTCCTTGGGAGTAAAATCAATTTTTTTTTTTTAAATTATAGGAAGTTTTTCTGCAATACCGATATAAAGAGAACTGATGCACCAATATAACACATGTTTAACACATATTGACTACGTAATTGGAGTATAAAGATTTGAGTTAAAAAGTGACTCTATTGTTAGGATTTTATTTGCCACAACACGCATAAGTCTCTTCAAAACCGGTTCATGCTCTGTATATTGTCCTATAAATCGAGGATGACTGTTTTAAAATCCATAAAGTTTTTGTATTTGTAATCCATAAATTTCTGCAGCATATAAACCCAATTGCATAAGTCCATGGGATTACAGAGAGGTTGAGGCTGGGGAAGTGGAGAAGGATCTCGGCATCGAAGAGACCCTACAATCCCCTCTCAACCCAACCCTGAGAAGGAGCCTAAAGGTAACGCTCAAGGTATTTCAAAAAAAACCTCCATAAAAGTAAAATCGTCTCAGCCGAGCTTCTCCTCAACTTAGAGGGCCCCGGCTACGATGCGACTTTAGTCCAAGAACCTTGGGTCGCTTCGGGTATAATAAGGTAAGAACGACAGTTATGGTAAAGGCCGTCAACCATGCATCGCTACTCGTTTTGTCTTGCTACATGGCCCAAGACAATGACACACCGCCGAGGGGCTTCATAGGCTGGTGGAAATGACTGGCGATAGGAAGGAACCCCTTATAGTAGGATCCGACGTGAATGCCTATCATACGGTGTGGGGAAGCGCGGACATAAATGAAAGAGGTGAGTCACCTAACTTTATATTACAAAAAGACGTTGAAGTAGCTAATAGAGATGAAGCAGCGACGTATATTGGAGCCATGGTCCAATCGAATTAAGAATGTGCTCGTGGGAATGGCGTAATTCGCGATCGTAATTGGGGGAGGGAACAAAGTAATTCAGGATGCCGTGGGAAAATGGTATAAGTAGTAAAGGCAAACTATCGATAGGCGCGATAGTGAGCGATATTTCCTTTTAACTATTTTTGATTGTATTTTTATTTTAACATTTTTGATATTGAAAATACTCGATAGTTTTTCAAAACTATCGATAGTGAGAAAACCAAAACCATCGATAGTATCGAGGTTTTCGCAATGAGGATAGCAGAATAGCTAGCCAACACCGAAACGACAATCAATTCAAAAGTAAACCTATACGTAGATAGTCAGGCGGCAATTAAGGCAGTTACCTCATATAGTATTTGCGCCATAAACGTCCTTCGCAGCCGGGAAGCCATTGACAGCCTGGCCACCGACAGATGGCTGCATATCTATTGGGTGCCCGGCCGCAAGGGAATAGAGGGTAATTAAATAGCAGATGAGACTGTCAAGAATGCCACCTCTCTCTAACTCTCGAACAGAGAAACTACATTTGTAGACCACTTCCACACCTGTACAACGAAATAGACGATAATATGATTAGGCAGTTCAGGGCTAGATGGAAGGAGTTAATCACTTGCAAAACTGCGAAAATTATGTGCGAAAACGGCGGAAGCAACTATATTCGCTTCTTTTTACGGTTATCAATGGAAGACTGCAGAGTTATTACCGGATTGCTTACGGGGCATATACTGGTGGCTGCTCATGTACTAAAAATTGGTACCATTAGCGGGACAGGTGCAGGAAGTGTCGTAAGCGGGAAACCACGGAAACCTTGGACATCTTCTCTGCCGATGTCCTGCACTGTTAAAAACATGACTAAACTGCTTTGGAAAATTCTACTTAAATTCGCAAAACGCGTTGACATTCTCAGTGACGTCTACTTTAACGCGTAAAAACGAGTTCCCACTGGCAACGCTAAGGACCTACCGGTCTATGTACGGCTCAATGCCGGCCAGATTAACCTAACCTAACCTACAGAGAGGGGATCTCGGAGGCCATTCGTCCTTGGGACCAAATCAATTTTTTTTTAACAATTTTAGAACGTATGTCTGCGATAACGATATAAAGTGATCTATCCCACCGATATAACACTTATTTACTATGCCATCGTTTAAGTAATACTTTCATACATAATTTAAAAATAAAAATTTATCCAGTTTATAACTTGATTTAAATATATTTTATTAACAAGTTTTGTGTACAAACTTATTGGACTCCGTGTACATACGGAGTACTTAACGGTAGTACCGCTGGAATCGGTACTCGACAGTAGGGGATTTGGTTGGTTAAAGTCGCACACTGACAGAGTATATAGGCTCCTCATTAAAAAAAGTACATAATAGCAATGCAATCTGGTAGTACATCTAGCGACAACGCAACCATATGCAACTCGCCCTGTGCTTATCATCGACAGCGCTCGGAAAAGCAATTAATCCTCGTTCAAATTTTTAATCGACACTGCTGCTATAGTAAGCTGACCAACCATCCTCCTTTGAGGAGGATTGTCCAGCTCCGTAGAGTTGGCACCCGACCTTGATGTATTTTGATAAAAATACCTAGAATATGATAGATTTAACTCTCTGGAGGATTGTAGTAAGTTTCTTTTTGTGGTTAGTTGAAAAATAAGTGCGTAATGCGTTTTTTTTTTAAATTCATATGAAGCTTTTTACAGCCACCGCTTAAAGTTTTAATGAATTCTGGTCTGGAATCGTTTGTAGTGGATTGTAGTTTTAAATTATTATTTTTTAGTTGAAAAATAAGTGCGTAATGGTTTTTTTTTTTAATTTATATGAAGCTTTTTACAGCCACCGCTTAAAGTTTTAATGAATTCTGGTCTGGAATCGTTTGTAGTGGATTGTAGTTTTAAATTATTATTTTTTAGTTGAAAAATAAGTGCGTAATGCGTTTTTAAAAAAATTCATATGAAGCTTTTTACAGCCACCGCTTAAAGTTTTAATGAATTCTGGTCTGGAATCGTTTGTAGTGGATTGTAGTTTTAAATTATTATTTTTTAGTTGAAAAATAAGTGCGTAATGGTTTTTTTTTTTTAATTTATATGAAGCTTTTTACAGCTACAACTTCAATTTTAATGAATTCAGTTTTAAAATTTGTTTTTTTTTAGTTGAAAAATAAGTGCGTAATGCGTTTTTAAAAAAATTCATATGAAGCTTTTTACAGCTACAACTTCAATTTTAATGAATTCAGTTTTAAAATTTGTTTTTTTTTAGTTGAAAAATAAGTGCGTTATTGCTACCGCCTAAATTTTAATGAATTCTGGTCTAGAATCGTTTGTAGTTGATTGTAGTTTTAATTTTTTTTTTAGTTGGAAATAAGTGCGTAATGCGTATATTTTTTTAAATTTATATGAAGCTTTTAACAGCTACAGCTTCAATTTTAATGAATTCAGTTTTAAAATTTGTTTTTTTTTAGTTGAAAAATAAGTGCGTTATTGCTACCGCCTAAATTTTAATGAATTCTGGTCTAGAATCGTTTGTAGTTGATTGTAGTTTTAATTTTTTTTTTAGTTGGAAATAAGTGCGTAATGCGTATATTTTTTTAAATTTATATGAAGCTTTTAACAGCTACAGCTTCAATTTTAATGAATTCTGGTCCAGAATCGTTTGTAGTTGATTGTAGTTTTAA